CATGTTTGGGAGGGTGGAGGGACAGCGCAGGAGGTGAAGGCCCTCTATGAGGTGGATTGATTCAGTGACTGGGGTAATCGGTATGGGAGTGTCAGAGACAGTGTGATTGGCACAGGGCAGAGTGGAGTTTAGGGCTGTTGTCGCTATGAGTCACAAGTGACTCGACCGCACATAACAACAACAACAGAGATTGACTGCTCCTTCTTCACATCCAGCAGGATCTTCTGCTAATTGTCATGCAGGGACTCTGCTGATGCAACTTTCATTTCAAACTTTATTACTCAATGTGGGGAAACCACACTACTCTTCTTTGCCTGGGAGTTAAAACCAGGACAGAAGTGACAGATTTCTCTTATGCTAACAATTCACCTGTCACAGCTAGCCACAGTGAAGGAGTGGAGGGATTTGGAGGGCATTCCTAGCTGATAAGCATACATTTTATCTTCCAGTTTAATGAAGTCTAAAATTATTTTTTTTTCTGAAGAATAATACTGATTTCATTTTACACAAAGCATTTTAAATCACCACCCTCCAAATTAACATCTTAAAATTATGACTTTGTTGCTTGTCTTTATTATCATTTTCAATATTATCCTTATTCTTATTTTACAGGAAGCTATTAATATCACACTGGATCACAAATGCAAAATTTTCCAGACCTTAAATGGAGCTTTAGGTATGTTTCATATTTACTTGTTTATATGTCTATATGGACACCTGTGTTTTAAACGCTCTTTCTCTTTTTTATACCAATTTTGAGACTGTGAATAAGGTTTATGGTATAGATATTGTTACTTTTTCATATTTTTTGATTTGAGCTTAATTTGATAATATTCAGTTTAAATAATGGTCTAAGTCTAGTGCTAAAAGGACAGATGTCTTCAGCTAATATTGAAATTAATGGCTCACTGTAACTACTTTGAGTTATGAGTTATCTTGGTGTGTTGGAGCAGTTCAGTTAACCTACCTGAAAGATAAGTGCTGACTGCTAGGCAGGACACTGAGGAATTGTGTGGTTATGTATATGTTCATAGATACAAATATGGCTTGGAAAAAATACATTGACACTAACATATCAGTGTACTGAGGGTTAAAATATATTAATTTATTACATTCATACACTAAAATTGTAAAATAAATTATAACTCAGTACAGTACAGTACAGCAGATCTTTCCAGTTCAATGAAAAGGTCCCTGAATGGGAAAGCATTAAGTGCAGAGTGTTTGGGAAATGATAGGAAAAGTCCTAAACAAAAGATCCCTTTTTCTCCCCCCCCCCCAGCCCCCAATTTGAGTATTCAAGAAAATGACATAAGCCTGATTTTCAAGCAGTAGCAGTCTTATCAGTAGTGGTCAATGATGGGAACTTTGCTTGTGCCTGGCAGCATTTTATTCACTATACATATTACTCTGGAAGCAGGAGTGGCATCCACTTCCTAAATAACATGCCTTCAGAAACCCTATGAACTTTGATAAATGTCAATAGTTGTTGTAGAGGGGCTTCAAGCCTTTTGTTCATAGGGTTGCTATGAATTGTGCTCAACTTGAAGGCAATCAACAACAGTGTACATATTACTGCTATTATTCTAAAGCTTTGTATGACATACTTTGGACATGTTGCAAGAAGGGACCAGTCCTTAGAGAGGGACATCATGCTTGTGAGGGCGGAGGGACAGTTCAAGAAAGGAAGACGCTTGATGAGATGGATTGATTCAGTGACTGGGGTGCTGGGGGTAGGTGTGTCAGAGACAATAAGATTGGCACAGGATAGAGCAGGGTTTAGGGCTGTTTTCCATAGTGTCACTATGAGTTGCAGATGACTCGATTACACTTAACAACAACATCTTCATAATAACCCAGCAAACCAGGCACAGAGCCCCATTAGCCAGCTGGACAATTGAAGAGTCAGAGAAGTTAACTTATCTAGGATTACATTCTCTCAGCAGTCTGGGTCAGGAAATGTGGAGGGTAGCTGCCTCTCAATAGAAGCTAGCTGACTGTAGAGATCCATATTTATTCCCATTCCCAAGAAAGGTAATCCAACACAATGTGAAAATTATCAAACACTATCATTAATAGTCTACAACTCAACAACACTCAACAACAATAACAACGACAACATAGAGAGAGCTATGCTGGTCTAGTGGACAGAAAGTTATGCTACCAAGCCCAAGTTGGGTGATTTTAGTCTGCCCTCAGGCCTGGTTTAAATTGTTTTTTGTCAAACATTCTTCTCAGTGGTATAGCACTGGTCTGTGCATTGCTGTACATAGGTAACTGGTGGTTGCTGTGATGCTAAACACTGTGACACTGATGTGCCAAATACAATAATGGTTACCCATGGTGGACAGTGTTTGGTGGAGCTCCCCAATTAAAACAAGCTTGAAAGAGGAGTGGCATCCACTTCCCAAATGACTTGCCTCCACAAACTCTATGAACAGTGCTCAGATCTTTTGTTCATAGGGTCGCTATGAGTCCTCTACAACTCAATGACACTCAACAACAACAACAACAACAACAACATCATTAATATATTGCTGAAGATCATCCTAAAACAATTGGAACGGATAGGGAACTTCTGGAAGTTAAGCTGGGTTTAGAAGAGGTCGTGGCACCAGGAATATCATTGCTATTGTCGGGTGGATCATGGCTGAAAGTAGAGAATACTAGAAGAATGTCTTATTTGTGTATTTTAGGTAATGCAAAATTTGACTATGTGGATCACAGCAAACTGTGGCTAACATTGAAATGAATGGATGTCCCAGAACACTTAGTTGTGGTCATGTGAAATCTGTACCTAGATCAAAAAGATGTTGTTTAACTAGAGCTAGATAACACTGCATGGTTTTAAATCAGGAATAAAGTGTCAAGGATGTATTTGTGGTATTAAAGGTTTATGGTTCAAAAGTGGCTTCCCTGTCTACTTACTGACTTTGCCATGTGGATGAGCAGGAATATGTGAATAGGGCATGTTAGCCTATCCACAAGGGCATTGGCCAGTCTTAATATTAAACTGAGCAGATCCAGCAGCAGAATTTGAGACCCTCAGCAGCAAAGGAGAAACAAGAGAATGTAATGTGTCCTTCAGGATCAAAGATTCTTGAACCAGCAAGACTAAAGGAATTACCATAGAAACCATAGCAAGCATTTTATCATCTATCTATCTATCTATCTATCTACCTATCAAGAAAGCACAGCTGAGAACCAGTGACCCAACATGAGATGGAGCAGACCTTGGGACTGCTACCTCATTGAACCAGCACTAAGAGCCTTTCCACCAGGTTTTTTGAGAAATGAGAGTAGGATGGAGAGCCATAATGGGCAGGATTGAGAGCTTTATAACAATGGCTTAAAGTCCTGACACTCAAGACTTGAGACACCTGCCAGCACATTTCAGAAACTATTCTGATTACTGTTCTGCTATTAACCTGAATTATAGCCTTTTGACTTTCCAGCTATGATTCCATGTAGTCTGAGAGCTATTGCATTGGATTTGGGACCCCGAAAATGAGTAGGAAAAGGTGCAGAAGCATGGGGCACATGTCAGACCTTTTGGGAATTGATTTTATTTTGTTGGCCTTGTTGATTGGGACAGTGCTCCTTTGGGAAGTTGCTGTTCCCTTCTGGCCCTTGCTCTTTTTTATAGTATCCTTTCTACATTCAATCTGTATGCTGAAAAAATAATTTGTGAAAATGGGCTCTGTGAAGAAGAATGTAACATAGAAATCAGAGGAATAGTTAATCAATAACCTGTGTTATGTAGATGACATAACATTACTCACTAAAAGTGAGGAAGATATGAAACAGTTCTTACAGAGTATCAAAGCCTTCAATATGGATTACATCTCAACATCAAGAAAACAAAGATCCTTACCACTTGACCAATAGGAAACACATCATGATAGATGGAAAAAGGATTGAAACTGTCAGTGATTGCATCTTGCTTGAATATACAGTTACTATCCTTGGTACCAGTACTCAAGAGATCAGGAGGCATTTTGCTATGAGAAAATCTGCTATCAGAGACTTCACCAGAATACTGAAGAGCAGTATTATCAGTTTGAAAATAAGGTCATGAGAACTGAACACTGAATAAGGATGACAGAAGAAGAATTGATACCTCTGACTTGTGATTGGAGAAGAGTGCCAAATAACCCATGGACTAAAAAAAAACCAACACACCAAAACCACCCCAAAACCCCAAACAGATATGTCTTAGAAAAAGGGCAACCAGAGTGCTCCTCGGAGGAGAGGGTGGTAAAGCTTTGTCTTTCCTATTACTCTGGACATGTTGCTAGGAGAGGCTAGTCCTTTGAATGAGATAGCATGCTTGGAAAGGTGGAGGGTCAACCCAAAATAAGACATCCAATAAAATGGATAGATACAGTGATTGCAAGCAATGGAATCAAGTATGATGAAAATGGCACAGGATAAGAACAATTCAGGTCTGTTGTTCATAGGGTAGCTGTGAGTCATACTTGATTCAATACATCAAATAGTAACAAAAACAGGATCATATTCTAGGGTGCTCTGGTGACATCGCCTATAGTCAGTTGCTGTGAAAAAGAACAAGAGCCATATGAGAATGACCATCTCAGGCCTTTGCCAACTTTACAAAGGAATACTGTCTGTATCAACAACATCAACAAAACAAAGCCAATTCCTAAGAGGTCTGGCATGTCCTCCATGCTCCCACACCTCTTTTCTTCTTATCCTAGGACCAGTCTTACTGCTTTGTTGTTGTTGGTATGTGCCATTGAGTGGTTGTGACTAAACCCTGCTGCATTCAATGCCAATCTTACTGTCTCCAACACACCTATTCCCATTACCCTAGTCACTGAATCAGTCCACCTCATCGAGGGTCTTCCTCTCTGTGCTGCCACCCTGCAACATGTCCAAAGTACATCAGACAAAGCTTCAGAATCCTTGCTCCAAGGAGAAGCCTGGCTTCACCCTCTCCAGGATGAACTTATTTTTTCTCTTAGCAGTCCATGGTGTATTGAGTACTCTTCTGCAACAACACAGCTCAAAGGCATCAATTCTCCTATCATTCTTAGTCATTGTCCAGCCTTCTGATGCATAGCAAGTAATGCAGACTCTTTCCTAAATTCAGTGCAGTAGTTCACAGACCACAGAGAACCATATTGGGGATATCAGAAGGCTAACTGCAGAATACAGCCAGAATAGCTTCCGAAATATGCTTGCAGGTGCCTCAGTTTGAGCCTCAAGGCTTTAGGTCAGTGTTACTAAGCTCTCAGTTCTGTGAATTATGGCCCCTTACCCTAAGCTGCCTAAGAGACTTGGGCAGAGTTTCTTAGCTCCAGTTCCAATGGTGTAGCCTCATCTCAGGTCAGGTCTCTGATTCTCTGTATTTTGTCAGGTCTCTGGTTCTCTGCTGTGGCTGCCATGCCTTCAGTTCCTATAGGCCCTCTTGCTTTCTCTTTTCTAGTGGGAAGGAGCCTCTTTTTGCTGCTGGATCCACTTAATTTAATGGTGAGATTAGAAAATCTCCCTGTGGATTGGAGAGACTAGCCAATCTCCTTCATGATAGGTCAACATGCCCTTTTTGCAAATTCCACCCATCCATGTGACAAAGTCAGGCACTGACTGGGAAAGCTATTTTGAATAAACTTAACTCCACAGTTGCAATTGCTAATTTGATGGCCATATATCTGACAGTTTGATTTTACCAGCATCTGAACAGGAGAGAGGTAAGAAGTCTTCTCCGTTTACAAATTGTAGCATCAAAAACCTTTAGGACAAAACGAGTTAAAGCTGAGTTGGCAGCAGTAAACTTGACGTTATTAGAGTTCAGGGTGGTGCAAATAGTTACTAGGTTCAGCTGCTAATGGAAAGGTTGGAGATTCCAGTCTATTCAGAGGAGAGATGTCTGAGGAGAGAGACCTGGCTCTCTACTTCAAAAAAATCAGTCATTGAGTTCTACTCAGCTTAGAATTCTACTTTAACAGTTGTGGGGTAATTGTTGATTGCTGTTGAGTTGAGCATGTATGGCTCATAGCGACCCTATGAACAAAAGGCCTGAAGCCTTTCTATAACAATCAACATTTATCAAAGTTCATAGAGTTTCCAGAGGCATGTTCTTTAGGAAGTAGACGCCATAATAGTCAGTCAGTCTAAATGAATTCCACAGAAACTGGTGTCTGGTTAAGATCACATTCAATAAAGAAACTGAAGTAGGATTGCAAAGATGCTTTCATCCACGTGACGCCCTAGAAGCTCAGTACTTCAATTTGAAAGTGCCTCTTTAGAAGATACTTCCTAGAATCTGTATCGGAACCAAGGGTGTCCTTTATTTTATTTAAATGGGCAGTCCCCTCCAGTGCAATTAACTGCCTCTGAAAAGCTTCTGGAAGCTCAACTATGGGTTGGTTCAGACTCAGTGGTTTATTTAATACAACAACATCTCCTAACTTAGAGTAAGCAAAATTTCTGAAAGCATTACATAGCAGATGGGGTATTCTGTACTTGAGAAGGTGTATTACGATAACTAGAAAGATAAATACATAAAAACTCATAGGTTTTTATTTAATTATTTTCATCATCATACATATTACACATTTATGAAACCCATTTTCTTTCCTATTTTTAACCCAGATGAAGTTGTTTTGAAGTTTGAAAATGGCAAAGCCAGAGCTAAGAATGTTTTCTATGAAACGTTACCAGTGGTACTTAATGGAAATGGTCCCACCAAGGTGAGTTTGACGGACCTTCCAGTTGTTAGATTGACTATCATCCATCAATATGTAGAATGACTTTTTTTTTTTCTTTCAGTTTATTTGAAAGGTTTTATTTTGGTGCCACCAGTTTTCTGATTTCATCTGTAATAAAATATCTTCTAGTTTCATTCATATTAAACTATTGATCTTTTCCTCAACAGACTAATAACATTTCATCCTATTTAGAACAAATTTAACTTTAGTGTTTTAGTTAGTAATAAATAGTTATACATGAGCTAAATGTTGCCACACAAGTTATCCCCACTAAAACAGGAATTGTTTAGATTATTAAGGGATCATATGTTCTCCAAAGCCACAACTTTGTAAATTAAGGACACTGTTCAGTCTGGGATGTAACTAAGTGACTGAAAAGCTTCCTCATGCCCTCATTAAAAAAAAAAAACACACACACACAAAAAAACCGAAAACCAACACTACTGTGAAATAGATTCTGACTCATGATGACCCTCCCTCAGGTTTCCAAGGCTGTAAATATTTATGGGAAGATAGTGCCCCTCCTTCTCTCATAGATGCATAGTGGATTATCAGGCCGACACATAATCCACCATGATGTCACCAAAGCTCCTTCTTATATGCCAAGTTTTATCAATTAAAGGCAACAAAGACAAGTTGATCAAAGCATGCAATTTTGATTGCTTCTGAGAAATATTTAACTTGCTCAGAATGCTATTGTTTATAAAATTTGTAGCTACCCAGTTTGGCTTGTCTTCTATCAAAAGAGATCATATGTTGCATTTATTTATTAATTTATCCTCAATGAAATGTGTCGATAGGTTTCTGAGACGTTCTTAAGTGTTCTGAGATGACTCGTTAGATCCTTCTAAAATGCTTAGAAAAGAAGGTACACGATACCTGGGTATTACAGAGCAAGAAAGTGGGGAGGTCTGGATTTCTGTTCAAAAATAGCTAGTAGTGTGAGTTTAAGACAAAACAAAACAGAAAACTATGTACATGGGAAGAACTTCAAGAGAATGCTCACACTGACAGCTTCTCATTTATCAAACAGCAAAGAGGTTGCTTTCCCTTCTCCTCTGGTTAATCTTACCACCTTAGCTTCTCCGTCCTTTTTCGACCCATCTTGAACTGCCTTCCGATGTACTTTCCTTCCTCTGTTATGATTCTTACCCACTTCTCTGCTCATGACTTTTTAAAGACCTTTAAGTTTTCTTATCCTACAAAAAAAAACAACAAAAGAAAACCTAAACCCAACAAAAAACAAACCAAAGCAAAAGGTGTCAGTACAAAGTAAAACAATCTTCGCACTCAAACCACCTTGCCTTCCACTCTTGGTATTTCTCCTCCCTGTCACACTAGGACTCTCGTTCTGCCAGGCCAGAAAGTGCTCACATCATTGTTTTTATGTAACAGTTTTTTGATCAATGGGCATTCCTCCTCAGTGTGCACCATTACTTCACCCAGTGATAGCGTTGGGCACTGTTGCTTGTATTTGGTCCCATTTGCACTGCTCTTTTCCTTTGTACGATGCTCACCTAAATTGACTACTAAATCTCTAGCATGTCTTTCTCTTCAGTCTGTGTCTGGATTTGTCTTTTACCAATCCTTTAATAATTTTACACTTTATATTTTATGTGTTGAGAGTTAATCCTCATCCTCTACTGTTTCTGTAAATTTTGCATAGATGTTCCATTTGAGATTTCTTCCCACTTTCTAGTTATAAATACAATTTTAGGTAATTTTCCCCTTTTCTGTGTCTGAAAAATCGCGTCTTAATGTCAGTGACTTCCCAGGGTTTGCTCTCACATCTATTTCCTGAGCTTCAAGTTTGTGCAATTGATATCCTCATTCTTGTGTTATATAGACCCCAAATGCATGATCTTTAAGCTGTATTTACTGCTGACTGATTTTATTTGGCTCTAGATACATCCTATTTGCTATTCTTTTCAACTGTTATGCTTCATTGTTTTATTTTATTGGTGCGTATAGATACTTCCTTAGTCTAGGCATCAAGCAACTTTCTACCAGCAGCAACGATACACCAACATCCTGGAATTGCAGTATTCTACTGAAGCAGAAACCCTGTCACATTTGCTCATCTATGTAATGAAATTTCTTTCCAAGGTCTTAGGCATGAAGTTCCAGATTCTCAGGTAGTCTTACAAGGCACATCTCCATATTGTCCCTGCTTTACCAAAACCCACCAAACTAATTGCTCTCCAGCCTATTCCAATTCATGGTACCTCCTCATACATCAGAGTAAAGTAGTGCCCCCAGGCTTTTCAGTGACTGGTGTTCCATGTCCCCAGGCCTTTCTTTTGCGAAGCTTCTGGATGGGCTGTGCTTGCCAGCATTTTGACTAGCTTGACCATTGCACCATGCAGAGACTCTGCTCCTGACTTGGTGGCCATTAATTAGCATGCTATCCACTTCTGGAGCTACATATGTGACACGATACATGAACCTCACATACTCACACCCATCTCTCCCTCAGCTCCTGCTTTTCTGAATTTCTCCTGGAGTCATAAAAGTCTCCTGATTCCTGTCTGCAGCTCGTCTGTCCATGCCTTTGCTCATTTCTCCCCAGTTCCTTACTGTTTGTTGGTCCACCTGGTAAGTCCTGTTCATCTTCATGTGCTGGTGGTGTATTCTTTACTCTTTGTCAGTTTGCCTTTGTAGTGTATGGTACTTAGTTCATTGCAGTAAATACAACACACTGGAGACGGAGTGTTTATCTGCTTTTTGTCTCTTTTCTTTATTAGAACTTTAAGGAAAGAAATTATATAGAAATTGGTTTTCCCCAGAATTTAGTACTTATGTGGTATACACTAGGCTTTCAGGTAATCTTTATTGAATGTGAAAGTCTATAAACATTACAGTAATCTGACATTATTCTTGTGAGTTGGGAGGTAGATGTTTTCTTTTTCCTGGCAGGGTCAAGTATAACATAAAATTGCTGTGTTACATTGTAACTATTTCTAGACAAACTTTATAAATGAGCAGTTTAAATACCTAAACCCCTTTGTTTCCTCTGTATTTGTGTGTGTGTGTTTGTCTTTTTTTCAGACTTATCATTTTTTTTTTTTTTAACTTCATTTCTTGT